AGTGGCCCCTGTGGTTCACTTGGCAGCTCAAAGCACACTAAAAACCCATGGCACAGTTCGCACCGCACACCCATCTCCATACCCGTACGCCCACCCACTGCCCTCCTCAGAGGGTCTACTCCTGAAAAAGTCTATGCCAGACCCCTCTCCACCAGATGAGGTCTGCCATTTCTTTCCCGTCGACCTCTTCTGTCTTCCTGTAGTACCAGTACATTTCACTTAGTCCCGTTTTAATACAGCCCTCGACTGTGGGGTCTGAGTTTATGAGCAGGTTCCTGGCTTTCCGCAGGGCATGCCTGAAGCAGGATATGAACTGGCCAAAGCGAGCTGTCAGGGTCCCTTGCTGTCTGGTCAAGTACCTGTAAAGAACCGCGTCCCTGGCCAGGTTTCTGAAACCTGTCACCACCAGAAGGAGCACACGGACTTTCTTCCACACCTCTCTGGCAGACGGGCAGTCCCAAAAGAGGTGGTCGATTGTTTCTGCCTGCCAGCGGCAGGTCTGCCTTGAGCAGTTCGATGGACCTCTCTGCCCTGCGCTACACACTCTTCTGCCAACACCAGGTGTAGGGACACGAAGCTTTGGGATGTATGCACAGCCACTAATTTCCACTTGCCAGACAGGGAAAGCTACTTCCCGACAGACCCTCTTCTGGAATTCCCACGACTTCAGAGCACCAGGATTTCCTGCGTGCCACAACAGGTAGTTTACCATCCTTAGTAAAACCCAGGACGATGTTAGTCAGACTCTTGAAATAGCTAGGAGCATGCCTGGAAAAAGCAAGACTGACACCCACCTTTGCTACATTGCTTCTTCTCAGCCCCACCTCCATCTCTGGTGACCGCTGCCATCTTCTGAGCTCACACGAGGCCTGCTTTCTGGAGAGTGCTGGGCTAGACATGGCAGGTAATTGCAGGCTGGATGGCAGCCTGGCACAAGGTACATGGCATCTGGAGCAAAGGAAACTAAAAAGGTGTCAATTGAATGGAAAGCTGGTTGTATTAGGGATCTCTATCAGACTGTGTCTTTTCTTCCTCCATCTGCAGCTCCCTGAAACATTTTCCCCATCATCTGCAAAAGGGCACTATTTAGGATAATGGATCCTAAGTGAAAGGGAACTGACTCATGAAAGCCTTGCTCAGCCCCAGTTTATGCAAAGATTTATGCACATTTCGCTCGCTCGTGTGCGTGTGTGAACTCAGGGGGAGCGGGGAAATTAATCCTAAATCACACATGTAAGTCTTCCACCTGTCTAAGGGTGTAAAGGCTGCAAGACTTGATCCTGTAAAGCCCCATTCCAGTCCAGGGGGGTTATGCCTGAGAGTACAGAATTCAAGATCAGGCTGAACTGCTGTGCCTGCTCCCCAGACATCCCTCGGGAACAGGTATGCAGCCCTGGCCCCCCTGGAGGAAGAGGAGGCAGAAGAACGGGTCCCCAGAGAAACTGAAGCCGCTCGGCCTACATCAGCGGCTCAGAAGAGGAAGACCCCGAGAAGATGGAGACGCAAAGTTCTGGTCATCGGGGACTCCATCCTGAGGGGCACCGATGGTCCGATCTGTCGCTCGGAGCCCTGGTCACAGCAGGTCCGCTGCACGCCCAGAGCAAGGATTCGCAACATCACAGAGACCATCCCTAAAATCATCAAGCTCTCTGACTACACATGGTTGTGGTCCATGTGGGTACAAATGATGCGTCCAAGGGCAAGCCGGATAACATCATGGAGGACTAACAAGGCCTTGGGACACCAACAGAAGAAGACGGGAACCCAGGTGGTATTTTCCTCCATTCTCCCGGTAAGTGGACAGGGTAGGTGTCACGAGGCCTGCATTGACGTGGTTAACCGGTGGCTTCAGAGCTGGTGCCACGAGGCAGGCTTCGGGTTTTTTGACAATGACCCATGCTGGGGGGGGACGGGCTTCACCTCTCCCCTAAGGGCAGATGTATCTTTTCCTCTAGGTTGGCTGAGGAAAGGTTGGGGAGATTGCGCTCTATGTCAAAGAGCGCCTCACATCATCAAGGATTAGCTTCAGGCTAGAGGAGTGGTCCTCGCCCCTACCTTGGGCAAATTCAAGAGGAGGTTGGATAATCACCTGTCTGGGGTCTTGTGAACCCAGCATTCATTCCTACCTGCGGCAGGGGGTCAGGCGAGATGATCTGTTCAGGTCCCTCCTGACCCCAGCTACTATGACACTGATCATCCATGTGTGTACTGAACGCAGAGATGTTCCATCCCCAATATAATTTCTGTACATAGTTGGATACAAGCTCAGACCAACAAGTCAAAAGCATCTCTTACAGCTCACATAGGCCTTGACATGGCTTTAGATGCCTGCTGCTGTGTTACTTAACACTGATAATTTCTGTTTTTGCATTTTAACAGGTTCTAATTTTTTACCCAGAAAGCACAAAGTCTTTGCTTCTCCTTTGTGAGAGCATCATTTTAAATAATAAAAGTGAGAATTTAAAAATAAGGAAACTAAGGATTTCTTCTTAATTTTCTCCATCACAAATCATCTCTTATTGGAGAAGAGGTAACTTGTGTGAAACCCACTCGGTCCTTATCCCTAAAAAGGGAATCAACATTTAACTGTAAAAGTTCCCGTCTGCGTCCAGTTTACAAGCAATTCTCTTCTCCTCTTTGAAATGAAATCTTATATGAGTCACATTAAAAAAACTGGAGAAAACTGGAGATAAACGATTTTTCTGAAAAAAAAAAAACCCACAAAAAAAAAACTATTTATGTCTCCCAAATGGGAAGTTTAGAGGAACAAGGGCAGGAAACGGACCAATATTTAAGCTGATTACCCAAGCAAGGTCCTCTGCCTTTTCAGCAGTGCTACAGTCCTTTAGTAAAACCATTTAAATTAATTAGTTCTGTGAAGGGGAAAAAAAAAGATGTCAAATTTTATCTTGAGTGTTAGTGATGGATGGCTGGAGAGGGGCTTTCAGGCTTGTTAATTGGGTCTGTTTGCTCCAATGCCGCAAACACTTTGACATGAAATGTTCTAATAATCATGCAGCGCAGGTGGCCCCCGGCGTCGGCCATGTTCCTGACAGCTCCAACATGCTTGTCTGCTCCATTCAGGGCCTGCAAGACTGAGCAGACGGCTTTGGGCCTAACGGTCATTAACCCAAATGTTCTCTGTGTGTAGCCTAGCAACCAATTTAAGTAGCCAAGATCATTAACATTTGTACCAGAAATTCACACAAATAAAAGTACTTGAGGGCCACACCGGCCTGATAGACATGGATCTTATTATGTTTTTTACCTAATTATCAACTTAGCTGTTTCTTATGCAACAGGAAAGATAGAGAAGTAACAGTTACTGCAAACTATATTGAGCATAACAGAAGCAGAATTTCCCTGGACTATACCTATGCACTTTGCTGGGTATATGTTTATACGCACGTACTCAGTAATGCACATAAATGAACTCACACAAACTGACACCATAGTAGAAATAACTGTCTACCACTGTAAGAATGAAAGACAGGACAATATTACAATATTTGCAGCTAAGCTGGTGACATTTAAGTTCTAATTTACATATATTCACAGAAAATCAAGAGCATATTTAGCTGTGGCTGAAGCACCGACAGTGTTTTAAACAATATGCAAACAAATCCAATGTTTCCTGATGTGTATTATTTGCTGGTGGTTTCCAAATAATTAGGTACTGTTTGTGGCCACTTTCTACCAAATAAATTGCAATTGTCTATTTTGAGGAACAACAGTGATATTTGAGAAGCCCTTATCCAATCTGGACTTTCAAGCAAATGGGATTTTATAGTATAAAAGTTAAGAAACTACATTAAATAGACAACATTCATCTACACAATGTTTCAGAGTTGTGCTTAAACATAAGAAATATGCAGTGACCACTGGTAAGAAATTAGGACAGATGGAAGAAATTTAAGTATTACAAATGATAAAAATCGCTTTCTCCAAACTTTTCTCCAAACTGTAGTCCTGATCATGGTTTTACATCCAAATCTTTGTACAGAATTGGATGGAAACAAACATATTACAGACTGCAAGGCATGAATTAAAGGAAGTACTGGACAGATTTGATCTATAAACACTACCTTGGGTGGTGCAAAAGAAAAGACTGAACAGAACTGCTAGAATGATCAGCTACCAAATAGGCAGTAATGAAAACTAACACTCAGCCACTATGCAGTTGTCAAATGAAAGGTCACAGGGAATTAACTATAGTATTTTATAACTAATATCTGCAAACTTGTCCAAACAACCCATTTTAAACACACACAATTCTATATCTGCTTCCTGGAAGGCAGCCTTTTCCCAAAAGCAGCAGCCTCTTTCCCCTTTTCCTTTGTTAACCAGTTCCCCACTTCAGCAACTACCTTTTCTGCCTGGTTCCCAATCTGACTTCAAAACTGCCTTATAAGAACTGTCTTAATGAGCCCTATGCAAGAGTAGGGTGCTCCATACCCAAACAAAAGTTAGTTGGTGAGTGCTCTCCTGAGCAAGGCAAGAATGAATATTTTCTCACCCAACCAATGACTGAAAAAAAACCCAAGAGAAAGGAGAAAATATTGCAAGCAACCCACAGAGCAAATAAAATCAACATAAATTGGTTTGAGATGCCTCATGGGTACAGAACACTATGGATAACATCCATGCTGCTGTCACAGTTGTGACTGAGGGCAATGTAGACATGTCTAAGCTAGCTTTATCCCAGCTGGCTTCTGTGCTGGTGACCATGTAGCCACATCAGCATGGAGGTCAGCGTGGCCTACAAAACCTGCCCTGAACCAAAGCACTGCTGCTAGCATTACAGATGTGCTCACATACGTTAGCTAGCTCGGGCGTGCGCACTGAAGTGGCAGTCCCACTCCAGAGGGTGGTGTGGAAGCTGTACGGAGGCCCCATCACCTATGGTCAGTTTATGCCGACAAAAGAGGGTGTGCGCTTTGAACTCCACTTGGCCAAGTTAGTGAACTGAGTTATCAGCTCAGCTGGAGCCGCTAACCCAAATCAAATGGTCTTGTTTCCACTGCTGTTTTAAATGGATATCTAATTCAAGCCATATGCACACCCTTTTTGGCAGCGTAGATATACCCTGCTGGAATTCCAGCCCCAGTCTGTTGCCCCCCGTGACAAAAATACACTTTGATTCCCTGTCCTTGCCACACAGTTCAGGTCAGACAAATAAAGGATGAAGCCCACAGGACAGATTTCAGTCCCATGGAGGACTTCCTCCTTGTCCTTCAAGCTGGGCTGACTCTCTCCTCAAACACTTGCACTGTCCTGAATCCTTCATTGTTCCAAATGGTTTTGATGTTCATATCTCTGACATGTTGAGGCTGCCAGATCTGACTTTTAGACCATTGATGGGGCATCTTGAATATAAAACTCAAGTAAAATTCCAGATTTTATATGAAACAGTGCCTGTGTTTTACTCATGCAAATGAAATGCTAAGCCCTGCCCCAAAAGTTGCCCTTATTAAATAAATATTTTGCTGGTACACACTGTACATATGTTGCATCTGAATTGTTTAAACAGGGATTTCTGAAGAATATCTTTTAGAACTGCAGGTCAGCGAAAACTGGCCTAAACTTATATTTTGCCACCTTATAGTTGATGCCAAGTCTCGCTGCATACAGAACGCAAATGAAACCACTGAAATTTTGTGCCAGTAACAGCTGGCTAGAGCTTGTGCCAGTAACATCTGGCTATGAGCAAGGTAGCCAACTGGCCTTTTCCCATTCTGAACTATGGAAAAATCTGAATTTTCTACTTGCTTACCTTGGGGCAGACTCTGCACCCCACTGTCATAAATGGAGGGAGGGGAAGACGTTACCAGCCCTAGGCAAGGAACAGGAGGGAGTGGCTGGCTTCACAGGAACCTCACAGCTCCCTTCAACATCACAGAGAAGCTGCTCCCTGAGTCCTCAGTGGGGAGCTCTCTTCCCACATGGCAGGTCCAGGTGATCTCCGCAGCATCCCCATCCCTCCTCAGCCCATTCCGGCGCACCAATTTAAAGATGCACATGTAACTGATGTGGGTGGGAGCAGACATTTTGAAACAGCAGATCAAAAATATTTCATCGCATTGTTCTCAAAGTGAAGCCTCATCAAAGTGGAGGCATTTCCACTAAACATGTAGAAGACTATCCCGTGGGAAAATGGCTGACCAGTCACTGGAGATGCCATGGGAGTCAGATACCAAGCTATATAGCAAGATCTTCAAAGCCACCTACATGTATCTTTAGGTATCTAAATACCTTTAAAAATATGACCACATACTAATTTGTCTCCATGGCACCAGCTGGTATTAAACCATAACACGTAGGCCTGGTCTTGGA